ACCTCAGCCTACTGAGTACTGGGATTATAGACATGTGCCACCATGTCTGGCTTCTGTGATTCATTTTGAGTTAATTTTGAGATGCGAAAAAAGGTATGCATCTAAGTTCTTAATTTTGACATGTGAATATCCCAATTTTTATTGTTTCAGTTATTGAGAAGTAATTCCTCCATCAAATTATACTGACATCCGTGTGAAAGATCCAATGACCATGTATGTGTGTGTGTGTGTATATTTCTAGATTATTTTGTTCTTTTTTTTTTTACTATGTGGCTAACTTTTTGTCAATACCAGACTGCCTTGGATATTGCAAATAATTAAGGCGGGTCATAAAAATCAGGTGTTTTCAGTTCTGCAGCATGGTTCCCTTTTCATTTGAAAGATGTTTTGGCAAATGAAAAAATGGAAATAAAGTATTTGTAAATGGGGAGGGGGGAGAAGGAGGCGAAGGGAGGGCAGGGATAAGGGGAAAAAATGAGAACCAAGACCTGTCATGTAAAGGTACAGGAGCAAATAATTAAGGCGGGTCATAAAAATCAGGTGTTTTCAGTTCTGCAGCATGGTTCCCTTTTCATTTGAAAGATGTTTTGGCAAATGAAAAAATGGAAATAAAGTATTTGTAAATGGGGAGGGGGGAGAAGGAGGCGAAGGGAGGGCAGGGATAAGGGGAAAAAATGAGAACCAAGACCTGTCATGTAAAGGTACAGGATCCCAATGATGAATGTAACTGTACTGTATACCTAAAATGTACCAATAAACTTTAAAAAAAAATAAGTTTTGGCTATTTTAGGACCTTTTCCTTGCAAATTTTAGTCTGCCTGTCAATTTGTATGAAATTTGGTGAGATATTGATGAGATTTTATTGAATCTGTAGATCAGCGCTGTTCAGTAGAACTTAGTGTAATGAGGGAAATGTGTACTTGCACTGCTCAGTGTATTCTAGTCACTAGCAGTATATGGTTGTGAATTGCGTAGAATGTGGCTAGTGAAATTGAAATTAATTTTAGTTTTATTTCAGTTTAATGCAAATATAATCATGCTTTTAGTGGTTATTGTGCTAACAATACATCCTTTTGAGGCAGATTGACTTAATGGTAGTGAGTATTCCATTGTATAAATGTGATAGTACTTATCTTTTTAAAATTTTTATTCTCTAATTAGTGTTTTGTAGATTGCATTATATAGATCTTGTACATATTTGTTAGATTTACCCCTGAGTTTTTATGTTTTGAGATGCTACCATAAGTGATAGTTTTCCTTTTTAATTTTTATTTCCAATTATGCCACTTTGTAGATTTTTATATATTGACTTGTATCCTAGGACCTTGTAAACTTAGTCTAGTAATTTTCTTTAGGTTCTTTGCAATTTTTTGTTTTTTGAGACAGGGTCTCCCTATGTATTTCAGGCTGGTCTTGAACTCACTACCTAGGCTGGCCTTGAACTTGGGATCCTCCTGCCTCAGCCGCCTGAGTAGGGGGATTACAGGCATACTCTATAATTTTCTACATGTAAAGTTATTAAAGGCAGATTGATTTATTCTTTTTAAACTGTATGCTTTTATATAATTTTTCCTCTTACTGTATAGATTTGGTTGAACTACCTAGTACTGTACTATGTTGACTCTAGACATCTTAATTTGCTGAGTTTTTCAAATTATCTCAAGGAATGTATATTGATGAGTTTTGTTAACAATGTATGTATGGAGATGATCATGTTATTTTTCTTCAATCTGTTCATAGGATGATTTGTATTGGTTTTTCAGATGTTGAACCAACTTTATATTTGTGCTGTAGCTATGTTCAGTTTTACTAGTATAGTACAAGTTGATTAAATCTCACCTAAAATTTTTGGGACCAGAAGTATTTTGAAATTTTGTTAATTTTTGGATTTTGGAACGTTTGTATATTCATAATGAGATGGCTTGAGGATGAGATCCAAGTATGAAAACAAAATGCATATGTTTTGGTGGCTGGGGATTTAGCTCAGTGGTGCTGCTGCCAGCCTTACAAGCGCAAGGTCCTGAGTTTGATCTCCAGTGCCCCCCCATGTAAGTTTCATATGCACCTTAAAAAAGAAGATACTTTCCTAAAGGATTTTAGTGCATCTGCCTTATCACATAAGGGTCAAACATGGAATTTTTCACTTATTGGTATTTAGAAAATTTTGCTTTATTTCTGATTTTGATATTAAGACTCCTGTAATTTGGATCTGTGTTCTTGGGAGAGATTCGCCTCCATCTTGTGCTACATTTGTCTAGTTTTGGTTATCTGGTAATGCTTTAAAGCATTGCGATGGTACATAGAGCCAGTGTTCACATGCATGCACCCATACAATTATGTTTTTCTTTTATTTTTAATTGTTGAATATTTTAAACAAAGCAGAAACCAGTGTTTGGGATATGTACTTATTTTTAAGCGAACTTGGAAGAATTTAAGAGATAGATTTAGAATTGTTCATAATTTCTTTTCAAAAATAAGTTTTGTTGTACTATATGTTCTTTCACTCCTAGGACAAGTGTTTTTTTTCTCCTTGGTTTAATACACCACTCATTTCAAAACTTAAAAAGGCGCAATACTTCAAATAGAAAAGCACCCAAAAGAAGTAATAAAAAACATCCTGTGCTCACCACCTAACATGGATAAATGTTAACATTTTTCTCTAATGCTTGCAACCCATTTGAAATGCTTTTGAATTGAATTTATAGCAAGGTTGAGTGGTTTTACTGTTCTCTAGTACACTTCCCAGAGTTTTAATTTGAACTTTTGCACCCCTCTTCCCACCTTTTAAAAATCTTGTTCTACTGTATATTTCTTATGTTCTTCTGTTAATACTTTTATACTTCTGTATTCTCTATCTTTTGTTTTTAGCTCTCTGCTTGGTTCAGGGAACAAAAGAGCTATAGTTGTATGCTCATCTTGTTTTTTGGTTTTTTTTTTTTTTTTTCATGTTCTAGCTCTCAGGTAATGTTAAAGTTTTTCAAATGGCTCTTTATAGTTACACCTGTCTTAGAAATAGAAAAGAGGGCTTTCCACCCAAATTTCCATTCTCAGTTTTCCTTTTCTTGGTAGCTACATTCTGTTTTCAGAGCTGTCATTGTTAGGTCACCAGTTCATGGAGCTGAACTTGCAGCCTTGGGTTGGAATAATAAACCAGGGTAAAAATCGGGTTCCCAACATACTGAAGGGATAAGCAGGTGCTCCAGTTATCCTATTTGATCACCTTTTTTAGATGTCAAGGTCTTAAGCCTAGTTACTGATGTGGACTTTGTTGGTAAGTCTGGAATCCAGAAGGAAAGATGTGTGTATTGTGTGTTTTTTTATAATCTTAAAGGCATGGCTCTACTTGTACCACACAGTAAAAAATACCTGTTTTAATTGATGTGATTGTTCTTCTTCTCTCTGAAAATTTTATATCTGTCTCCAGAGACTGTTCTATGTAACTTAGTGTGAAAATTTTAAGGGCTGAATTTTTTTCCTCCCGTTTCACCCCTGGCTTTTAGGAATCAATAGTTAATGATTGGTTTTTGTCATTTCTTAGGTATACTTGCATTCCAGGAAAAGGTTTGTGCTTGTTAAAAAGCATGACATACTACTATAGGACTTATACGTAATCCTGTCACTGAATATATCATATATTGATAATCCATAGAAGTGCAAAGTGTGTTCTGTCTTCTTAATTTAAAAAACTTGAAAAAATTATAGATGTGGGGCAACCCACTTCCAGTCCCCCTTCTGTCTCTTTTAGAGAAAAGCTATCTTTCTTTCAATAAATTTTCCTACTCTTAACCTCTGTTCCTAGAATTCATTCTTTGATTTTAGAGAGCATAACTGATGTTTTGGATATTTAGTGGGTTTAAGGGTTACACCTGTTTCCCCTATATCATTTTGGAGGTCTTCCACTGAGATTACTTTATGAAGAAGGCTGCTAAACTCCAAGTGGTCATACAAATGGAATCAAAGACAAATGTGCTAGACTTCTTTTACCAGGATCCCAGATCGACCTTGTAAGAAGTTACAAGTTCATAACTGCTAGACTACAATATAACGTCTACATCAGATTCTGATGTCTTCTTATCCTCTTTGTGGAGACTATTATTTGTTCCTCCTGACTTAAAGGTATACTCCACCCAAAGGTGATACTACCTGGCACCTGTTGAGGGCCTTTAGCTAGACCCTCTGTAGAGTAACTGACTGCCAGTAACAACTCCGATCCTTCTTTAGCCAGAAATAGCTAGAAAGATCTTCGCACCTTGCCCCCTTTTTAAACATAGTGTTAAATAAAAATTACAAGAGGTTACTTTTCTGTTTCAAGTTTCTGGAATAGGCCCCATCAGAAGAGACTATAAATCAAAATAGTCGTTATTCTAAAGTTCCAGGTAAAAACTGTCAGATCTTCAGAAAAATCAAGGTTAGAGAGATTAACAGCCAAATTTTGCAGATAGAATAATAGTTTGTGTGATAAATTCCCTCAAGCTTGACAAAAAGAAAATCAGAAACTACCTGATTAAGTCAATTAGTTACTTTTCTCTTGTTTCAGCTCCCTGTCCCTGTCTTACAAGAAAAATGGCTTGAAAATACCTTTTTTCTTTTGTTCTTTTGTCTTTCTTTGTCTACAGTGTCAATCACCTTTACTCAGGTTTTGTGGAAGGTTACTTTATTTTATGGAATGACATAGTATCCAATACCAGAATTGAAAATAAAACCAGTAAACTTGCCAAACAAACAAAAATTACATGTAGAAGCACTTGTAGAGAAATCTCTCATACCCTTTATCTTGTCTTTCTTAGTGGTAATTGTATACAACTGTAGTACATTATCATGTCTAGGAAAATGATGTGCTACAATCCATTTATTTAGCCATCCCTAGTTTTACCTGTATGTGGTGTTGGGGTGTGTGGTTTGTGTGGGGGTGGCACACGCATTTCTATCTGATGTTATCACTGGTAGCTTGTCATAATACAAAGTAGTATGTCATAGTGCTTCATACTACTCTTGTACAGTCACAGTCACTGGTCAGGGCGAAGATTTTTTCCCCCCTTCAGCCCTACTGGTAAGAATGAGATTGGATATGTGTGATAAGTTAGACAGTTCTTAAAAAATGTGTTTTAAATGAAAAGCTGCTATTCTTTTGGGTGTCTACACTTATGTACAGTTTATGCTTGAAAACACGACTTGTATATTGGCAAATACAGAATAAAATTGAGAATATTTTGAAAATTAATTAGCTTCTGTATTGAAATTTTTAGAAGATTGGGTTGTTAAATTTTCCATTTAACGGTTTTATTGCAGTATAATTTACCTTCCATAAAAATGGGCCATTAAATTGTTGGTTTTTAGTGATTTCATATAGTTATATAGCCATTATCATAGTCCAGTTTTGTTTTAAAATGTTACTTTATGTGGTGGTGTGCACTTTTGATTCCTGCACTTGGGAGGCTGAGGCAGGAGGATCTCTGGGAGATCGAGGCCAGCCTGGGCCACATAGTGAGACTTGCTCCAATGCATACATAGCAAAAACCTTAAACATCAAATTCACACATACCCCAAAAAGTTTCCACATGTCTTTTTTTGCAGTTAGTCTTTTCTTCCCCAGCAACCAATGACTGACTGCCTTTAGTCACTATAGAAATTTCAAATTAGTGACATCAAACAAGATATAGTCCTTTGTTTCTGGCCTAAATTTACCATAATGTTTTTTATGGTTTATCTGCCTTTCATTATGTGGTTTTGTGTTGCATGGAATACATGTTCTGTATTCATTAGTTGATGGACATGAGGATTGTTTCCGTTTTATTGTTACTATGAAGAATGCTGCTTTAAATATTTCTGTAGAAGCCTTTGTGTAGACATGTTTTTGTCTGTCCTAAGTAGATACATAGGAATAGGTGGCTACATTGTATGATAATTATATATATAAGTTTTTAACTTTAAAAAAAGTGTTTTCCAGAGTGGTTGTACCATTTTATATTACCATCAACAGCATAGGATGATTCCCATTTTCATTTCCTCACCAACATTTGGTATTCTTTTTTAATTACAGTCTTTTGAGTGGGTGTATTGTGAAACCTTGTTTTTAATTTGTATTTCTCAAATGACTAATGATGTCTTAGCATCTTTGCTTGTGCTTATTAGCCATTTGTAGATCTCCAGTCACATTTCTTAAAATATTTTGCTCATTTTTGTATTTGAGTTTTCACTGGGTTGTCCTTCTATATTTTGGGTATGCACTTTTTATCAGATAAATGTACTTTGGTGTCTTTGAAAAGCAAAAAAAATATTTATTTATTTTTTGTACTGGGAATTGAACTTGGGTCCTTGTGCTTGCAAGGCAGGCGGCAGAACCACTGAGCTAAATCCCTGGCCCAAAATTTTTAAATTTTTGAAGAGGACATTGATGGAGTGAACTGTTGTATGAGTGTGTCCCTTAATTTTTTGTTGTATTTAATCTCCAATGGATTGTTACCAAGAAGTGAGTGAGGACTTTGGGAAGTGGTGAGGGTCTAATCTCATTGAGATTAATGTGGTATGAAAGATGCAGGGGAGTTTTATTGCCCTTTTATCATGTGAGAAGTCATAGATGGCACCATCTATGAGGAATTGGCCCCAGCAGACATTAGATTTTGCTAAGTTCTTGGTTTTGTACTCACTCCCTGACCCTGCTGTACCACAGCCCCTGGGAGCCACGAGATGGAATTGGCCTGTAGCTGTTATGAGTTTGAGTTCATTTGGCCCCTCTCCAAGTTGGCTACTGGCCAATCACCCTTTCTTGGGTGATGCCTGAACCTGAATAACTCAGTAGCCACAGCAGTCCACTGTATTGTGGCTCAGTTCCACTGGTGTATTTCTCCATGGAGGCCTCTGGTGGCGCCTGTAGTCACCATGGGTCAATAGGTTCCACCCTCAGTTGCCACACCAAGAGTTTGCATTCTGGGAGAAAGTGCTGCTTGCTACCTCCCTCCTCTTTGTTGAAGTCTTCTCGCTTTCCCTGTGGACTTCACTTTTGCTTCAGATCCTTCCTGGGTCCCAGGGACCCACTTCCTTCTCTTCATGGCACTGTATTCCACTGTCAGAACACCAAATCTCGGAGAGACTCTTTCTCCTGCTCTCCACTCCACCATCTTCCTGGAATTCTCTCCAAATGATAGTAATTGTCCAGATCTTGAGAAAAGGTTTCTCCTGGAGAAGTACACTGATATAATTTATAAATCTAAAACAAACTGAGAGATGCATTTGTACTTGAGATATTACCACCTGGTATATGCTTTTAGTTTTTTTGGTAACCCAAATAGTGAACACCTGCAGTTCTTTGTTTCATTGATGATGTGTTGGCTTCCCAGATTGTCTCTCACTACACACACACACACACATCCACACACTTTGCTTTCCATTAGATTTGCTTGCCTGACCACTGAATTTAAAGAACGTCATTTCTTTTGTGAAGCCCTTATCCGTTTGCTAGAACAAAGTTGGTACTCTCTTTCCTGTCACAGTACCTACATTTTTAACCATCATCTTTAACATTTTACAATAATATTTTAACTAAATTGCTTACTCTTATTCATCACTACAGGGCAGCCTAATATATATTGGTTGACTGGCATAAAAACACTCATACGTTCTGAGTTGTATACAGCTATAATGCTGTAGACCTAGGCATGTAATTATTTGTAGAGAATGAGCCTGTGATATTTGACAAATACAGACCCTCAGTGAGGTATAAAGCTCTCAGAAGACCTGAATGAGATTGCAGTGTTCTTAGCTAATACTGTAAAAGATCACTATTATCCCTGGGCCTCTCATGCCATTTTCTTATTTATGAAATTACTATTTTGAGATAATTTCTTGAGAATAAATGAGAATGTTGAAAATGAGAAAGCAGAAAATAGAGAAACCTAACAAATTCTAAGTTTAAATTATTGAGAAGTATCTAGCCATTACTAATCTTGGTCACAGTGGCTGATAAAGCTTAGTGTGTAACAGATGTTTGGTAAATCTCTGGTGAATCAATGAAGGATTTCAAGAAAGCAAGAATAATACTGTAGATTGAATTGGGATCCCAAAAGAGTAATCTAGGCAAAAGGTGCCTCTGAAGAAGATTATAAATCATGGTACTACTTGAGAAAGTACTGTGTAATTTTAAGACCTTCGATCTGGCCCCATAGTGTGTTGTGGAGAAGACCCTTCCTTTTGAGGAAGGAAATTATATAATCAGTGAAAGAGTGACCCTTGATCTTTTTTGTGATAAAAATTAAGCTCAGCTGAGCTGTACTTTGATCTATAGCAGGAACATGGGATAATTAATAAGCATTTATTGAGTGACCATTATAATCCAGGCCTAGTGCAAAAAGCGTTCTATGGATGATTTTTATCTTTTTTTTTTTTTTTTTTTTTTTTTTTTTGTATGGGGATCAAACTCGGGACCTTGAGTTGTAAGGCAGGTGACAGCACCACTACGCTAAATCCCTGACCCAGATGATTTTTATCTTTGCACCAGCCTTGAAGACACTTGTTACAACTCCATTTAAAATATGAGGACAGAAATAACCCACCCAAAAAATGCATAAAAAGCATTCCAATAGGGTACTTATTAGACTTGGTGAGGAAAGAGTTACTCTCCGGAAGGCAGGCAGCCCAGGTGGTGGTGTCTTGCTGCGGAGGTTTGGCCTTTACAAATTTTGTTGGGAACAAAGGTGAAGCTCATTTTGCTTATTTTGAAATCAGTATGTTATTTTTATTTTAATTTTACTGAAGGAATAAGTCAAATCTTTGAGTTTGTGTTGTATGTTGAACTTGGGTCTTACTATTAGGACCACACTTTAATAATGCACTTTATTATCTTAGATAAATGGTTCTGGGTGATGGAAGTGTAAGGTATATGAAAACTAAATTTTTGGAGGAAGATTACAATTACATACTTAATGAATGTAAAATTAAGAAATGTATTCAGTAATTTTGCTTCCCACCTCAGTAAATAACATAATCATATTAACTACCCAAGGAAGTAATGAAAGTAAATTTACATCATTCAAATGTTTGACTCTACCTGTTGTGTATGTTTTGCATTTCAAAGTCCCCTCTCTTGAACAGATGACAGTTGTACTGTAGTGTCCTCATATTTCTTCACTTTCTGTAGAACCTACAGAACAATTCGCTTAAGCTTTCAATTCCTTCATGCTAGCCTTCTTTCTATAATTGTATATATTTCTGAAATACCTTGTAGCATGTTACCTTGTAGCTTGCTACCCTCAACCCCAGAGATTTGAATCCAGTAGATTTTCATATCAAGTTGTATTCAGGTGCACTATAGAAGGTTACAATTGCTATTACTCCTTCAGCTGATTATTCACCAATCCTCTGAATATTAATTTAGCATGTATCAAATATTTTATCTAACTTTATTTTTGTTTTGTAGACTTTGAATGTTTTGTGCTGTTTATGGGTTTACATCGTTATCTTTAGAGGAAATTGTAATGTCTTACTTGTATGGCATTGAATTTAAGCCCAGTGAAAACAGGCTCCTTGCCTTTTTAAAAACTTACAATAAAGTATATTATAAAAATGTATTTTATGGCCGGGCATGGTGGCGCACGTCTGTAATCCCAGCACGCGGGAGGCTGAGGCAGGAATTCAGGTCAGTCTCAACTACATAGTGAGACCCTGTCTCAAAAAAAAACCTTTTCCAAAAAAGTATTTTATGACCTCTTCCTGAAATAAATGCTTGTCCATGGCAAAACAAAACAACTTACAATAAAAAGTAGTGTTTTAAGCTGTATTGATTGGATGAAATACTAAAAGTAAAGGAAATTGCTGAGTTTATAAGAATAATTTATTAGTACCACATAAGAAACTGTTTAGAAGGGATTCCTGATGCATGATAATTTTACATTGTTTGTTGGTACTGGGGATTGAACTCGGGACCTTGCACTTATAAGGCAGGTGCAGTGCCACTGAGCTAAATCACTGGCCTGATAATTTTACATTGTTTTCGTCAACCATAAGATTTGTAAGTTAATAATTTAACATAAAGGTGTACTGCTCCCTTAATGGTGA